GCCAATTTCTGATCCAAACCGCTAAATCACCCTCAATCCCATGCCTCTGTATTTTCTGCAATAGCCTACCATGGGGAACCTTATCAAACGCTTTACTGAAATCCATCTACACCACATCAACCGCTTTACCCTCATCCACCTGTTTGGTCACCTTTTCAAAGAACTCAATAAGGTTTGTGAGGCACCACCTACCCTTCACAAAACTGTGTTGACTATCCCTAATCAAATTATTCCTTTCTAGATGATTATAAATCCTATCTCTTATAATCCTTTCCAACACTTTACCCACAACCGAAGTAAGGCTCACTGGTCTATAATTACCAGGGTTGTCTCTACTCCCCTTCTTGAACAAGGGGACAACATTTGCTAGTCTCCAGTCTTCTGGCACTATTCCTGTAGACAATGACGACATAAAGATCAAAGCCAAAGGCTCTGCAATCTCCTCTTTAGCCTCCCAGAGAATTCTAGGATAAATCCCATCCGGCCCAGGGGACTTATCTATTTTCACACCTTCCAGAATTGCTAACACCTCCTCCTTATGAACCTCAATCTCGTCTAGTCTAATAGCCTGTATCTCGGTATTCTCCTCGACAACATTGTCTTTTTCCTGTGTGAATACTGATGAAAAATATTCATTTAGCACCTCTCCTATCTCTTCAGACTCCACGCACAACTTCCCACTACTGTCTTTGACTGGCCCTAATCTTACCCTAGTCATTCTTTTATTCCTGACATACCTATAGAAAGCTTTAGGGTTTTCCTTGATCCTACCTGCTAAAGACTTCTCATGTCCCCTCCTGGCTCTTCTTAGCTCTCTCTTTAGGTCCTTCCTGGCTAACTTGTAACTCTCAAGCGCCCTAACTGAGCCTTCACGCCTCATCTCTACATAAGCCTCCTCCTTCCTCTTGACAAGAGATTCAACTTCGTTAGTAAACCACGGTTCCCTCACTCGACCACTTCCTCCCTGCCTGACAGGTACATACTTCTCAAGGACACGCAGTAACTGTTCCTTGAACAAGCTCCACATTTCAATTGTGTCTTGCCCCTGCAGTTTTCTTCTCCATCCTATGCATCCTAAATCTTGCCTAATCGCCTCATAATTGCCTTTCCCCCAGCTATAACTCTTGCCCTGTGGTATATACCTATCCCTTTCCATCGCTAAAGTAAACGTAACTGAATTGTGGTCACTATCACCAAAGTGCTCACCTACCTCCAAATCTAACACCTGGCCTGGTTCATTACCCAGTACCAAATCCAATGTGGCCTCGCCTCTTGTTGGCCTATCCACATACTGTGTCAGGAAACCCTCCTGCACACATTGGACAGAAACTGACCCATCTAAAGTACTCGAACAATAGCGTTTCCAGTCAATATTTGGAAAGTTAAAGTGATGAGGCCTCTTCTGGAATAATGCATCCAGTCTGGTCATCCTGTTATAGGAAGGATATTTAACGCTGGAGAGGGTTCAGAAAAGATTGACGAGGATGTTGCTGGAACGGAGGGTTTGAGTTATAAGGAGAGGCTGGATAGGCTGCAACTTTCTCATTGGAATGTAGGATGTTGAGGAGTGACCTTATCGCAGTTTGTAAAATCATGAGAGGTATAGATAAGATGAGTGGCAGATGTCTTCTCTCTAGGGTGGGGGATTTTTAAGGTGAGAGGAGATTTAAAGTCATGAGGCAACTTTTTTTACACAGTGGTTTGTGTGTGGAATGAACTTCGAGGGGAAGTGGTGGATGTGGATACAGTTATGTTTAAAAGGCATTTGAATAAATGCATGAATGAGAAATGTTTGGAGAGATATGGGTCAAGCAGAGGCAGGTGTGACTAGTTTAGTTTGGGATTATGGCCGGCATAGACTGGTTGGACCAAAGGGTCTGTTTCTGTGCTGTGAGACTCTTTCAGTGACCCAGATGAGTTCTTACAGCAGTTAACAATGTTTGTATGGTCACGATTAGGCTAGCTTTTTATTCCAGAATTTTACTGAATTCAAATTTCACTATCTGCCACGATGAGAGTTGAACCTCGTCTCCAGTTCTCATGAAGAGTCATATCGGACTTGAGACGTTAACTCTTGTTTTCTCCCTGCAGATGCTTTCAGACCTGCTGAGTTTCTCCAGCACTTTATGTTTTTGTTCCCTAGACCTTTAGCCTGGGGTTCTGGATTACTAACCTAAAGACATTACCCCACCCCTCCCCACAAGCCTTCTCTGTCACCATCTTAAATTTTATTTAATTACAGTCAGTATTGCTTAGATGTTCTCCTACTTTTACCTCTCAAAATATTTTGCACTATTTTTGAAGTGCAGCATATGTTTTAGCGAGAGAGAGCTGATAGCTTTATTCTGCTCTTGCTTGGAAGATCAATATAGGTCTGGGCATTAGCGAGAACTGCATTTCTCTTCACTAAGTAATGCCATGGGATCTTTAGCATCCATGTGAGAAGGCAGACGGACTCTCTGTTTTGCATCTCATCCAAAGACACTTCAGTACTCCGTAGGTATTGCATTATCTCAGCCCAAGTTATGGATTTACCTTTAATTGGATGTGGACCCAGGGCATAAAGGTGAAAGACGAGTGACTGGTATGCATTATTGTAAGGGCTGGAGCCCTGGTTCTGGGTGGGTTAGTCTGCTAGTCTCCTTGTCTGTATACTGCACTGTGAGTTTCCTGACCTCCTGTAAGATCTCTTGGACCACCAGTGCTTTTCCTGTCCAGTCACTGACCCACTTGTCCTGTTGTGCCGCAATGCAACGAATGTGCTGAGGAGCCGCTACCTCCATTCGGGGTTTTCCAGTGTAGACTTGAGGAACTTTGCACTAATGCTGATTTTCCTTCTGCTGTCTGCAGGTGTGTGAGATTATTGAAAGCCCACTTTTCCTCAAGTTGAACCCCATGACAAAGCACACAGACGTAAGTAAGATGTGTTAAAGTTAGACAATGGTCAAATAAAAACAATGTTCACGTAAAATTCCACTGTGCAGTTGCTGTGTCTGTCATTAAATCCTGATGTTCAGTGATACTGCCCCTCATGACATTCTGATAATGATGTTTTGTCGCACTGTTCCCATTTCATCCTGATCCCTATGTTCTGTGGTACTATCCCCATCAGATCCTACTCTGATGTTTTGGAGCACTGTGCCTTGTATAATCCCCATCTTGATGTTTTGTGACACAGATCACCGTTGGATCCTGATGCCAATGTTCTGAGAAGCTATCTGCCATTTGATTCCAATCTCAATGTTCTGTGACACTGCAATCCCTGGTACCCCACCCCAACAGTCAGCATTCCCTTAAATTTTTGTTTTCTTCTGTATGCACTTCGGAGGTCAGTGCTGTGACTGGTGTCAGCACAAACAGTCGTTGCGCATGGGCCGTCAGAGTGGCTGCATGCGACACGCAATTTAAAGGGAACGTTGCCCAACCCCTCATCCACCCTCCGTTAGAACCTGGTGTTCTGTGACACTGCTTCCCACGCACCCACCCCCACCCCCTACCACCCATTGGATCCCAGTCCCAATGCTCTGTGATACTGTCTCTCGTTAGGTCATGATGCTGTTACTACAATCCTTTGTCCTTATTGAATCCTAGCCCCTCTGTTCTGTGCTGCTGTCCCCTATTAAATCATGCCACCCTGTTGTGCTGCCCTGGTTACATATACTATTCCTCTATAAATCCTGATACTGTTACAGTACTGCTATTAAATCTCACAGTCCTAAGTACGTTCACCTTCATTGAACCCCTGGATCTCGTTAAGTCTTGCTGTTGTTACTCATCTTCCGCCATCTTTTGTGACTAACCCACATCTTGTGTCTTTCTCTTCTCTCTGTTTTGTATCTTCTCCTGTTCGCATTCCCTTTTGCTGCGAACCGTCTTCCCAGTTGTCACTCGAACTGTCCCTTATCAACACCACCAACCCCTCTGCCCCCCGCCCCAATCACCACGGTGACGAGCTTTGTCTGGCTGATTTTCTAACATTGTGACTGAAACCATTCTTGATGCAGAATGAAGTTTAAAATCCAGCGGCTGCTCAAAAGTTGTGCTTACTTTATCTCCGTACAAATGTTTTTGATTTGATTGCCTGCAACAATTGAACTTACAGCCAGGCGGCCTCAGACCAAAGCCAGAATCTCTGCGTTTGACAGGAGTTTGTTTTAAGCATGGCCTTTAGGAGGCTCCAGTCTCTGTTCTTGTTGATATTCCAGGAGCTGCAGTTGTTTCAGGGAAGCAGTTCCTCCACTGACGTAAGTAGAAAAGGAGGAATAAGAGGCATTGGGTGTAAGTGGTTTGTACACTGGCATTAGCTGGCTGTTCTCCTTTTTCTGTTTCGAAAGACTGATCGTCTTTGATGACGTCAAATATTGTTCATGAGATTCCCCTCCTGCCCCCTTGACCTCACTCCCACTAAACTCTGACACAGTAGCTCAGTGGTCAGCAGAGTTTGATTCCACCCTCAAGTGACCGTATGTGTGGAGTTAGCATTTCTTCACATGTCTGCATGGGTTTCCTCCTGGTGCTGCAGTTTCCTCCCACAGTCCAAAGATGTGCAGGTTAGGTGGATTGGCCATGCTAAATTGCTCATAGTGTCCAGGGATGTGCAGGCCAAGTGGGTTAGCCATGGGAAATGCAGGGTTACAGGGATAAGATGAGTCTGGGTGAGATGCTTTTCAGAGGGTCGGTGTGGTTTCAATGGGCCAGATGGCCTGCTTCCACACTGTCGGGATTCTATGATTCTATAGATCACATGTTGATCCTTCCTGACCTTCACTTTGTTGACATTATAAACCAGCTCCTCTCCTCCGGAACCAAGCACCCCCCCCTTCCCCTCGCCCTCACTAACTCCCTTTCAAAACTGCCCCCAAAACCAGGATTGTGTTCCTTTGACCCGCAACCCACAGGTTTAAATCTTCCTATTGGAAAGCAGCCACAGCCATCGCAGGTGACGAAAGGTGTTGGAAGTTCTGCAGTTCAGAAGAAGCGGCATTTTCAACTTGATAGGCTGGTGTCGTTCTCCTTGCAGCAGAGAAATTGCAGGGAGAGCTGTTTGACATGTAGAAAATTAAGTGGCATTGGTAGTACACAAAGAAGGAAACTTTTCCTCTTGGTGGAGGGGTCAGTAACCAAAAAGCACAGGTTTAAGGTGAAAGTAGGTGGTTTAGAGGGGATTTAAAAAAGAGTTTTTTTTTTCCCCCCCAGAGGGTGGTGGGTATCTGGAATTCGCTGCCTGAAAGAGTGACAGAGGCAGAAACCATCAGTATTTTAGAAGCGTTTAGATGAATGCTTGAAATGACATAGAATGCAAAGTTACGGGCCAAGTGCTGGGAAGTGTGTTTAGAGTAGATCGCTGCTTGATTACCAGCACTGCCAAGATGGGCTGAAGGGCCTTTTTCCCTGTTATAATACTCTGTGATTCTCGGACTCAACTTCACACCTCCACCTCTCCTAACCCCCTCCCACTGCTTCTACAGGCCTGGTGTACAGTCCTGCACGAGCCATGGTTTCCTTCAGTTGGGTACTGTAGAGGCCAGAAGCATGCTCAGAAATCCCAGCTGCCCTATTCCTGACCTGAAAACAAAAGGCATCTAGAGTTGCAGCCCTTTCCTGTCTGGGCACCACCAAAAGGCGTACTCTTTCATACCTTACACAAACCTTGTACGTTGCCACCAGTTCCCTGACCATCTACTGTCCGACTGAAACACAAAATTCACAACTTATTTGACCCTGAGTTGATTGCTGAGAGTCGGACAGCTATGCGTATGCACAGTCACACAACCTAGAGGGCGTGTTGCTTCTGACCTTATGACGGAGGGAAAGTTGCTGATGAAATGCTAAGGTTAGATCGGCCTAGGATACTCCCCTGAGGAACGTCTGCAGCAGTGCCCTGGAGGTGAGCTGATTGATCTCCAACAACGTCAACCATCTTCTGTTTTGACAAGTTTGACTATAACCAGTGGAGATCTCCCACCCCCCCTTCTCATTCTCATTGATTCCAGTTTTGCTAGGTGTCCTTGATTCTATTGTCTGTCAAATTCTGCCTTCATGCCAAGGGCAATCACTCTCAATTCATCCCGAATTAATCTCTTGAGTCAGGGCCCTAACAACGTCTGGAGCTGAGTGTCCCTGATTGAACTGAACTGAATATCATTGAGCAGATTATTGCTGACTAAGTGCTGATAGAACTGTCAGTTACATCTTCCATCGCTTTGCTGATGATCGAGAGTTGACTGGGGCAGTAATTGGCCAGATTGGGTTTACCCTCCATTTTTCCCAGGATATACCTGAACAATTTTCCACTTTATCAGGTAGATGTCAGTGTTGTAACTGTACAGGAAGGGCTTGGTTCGGGATGCAGCAAGTTTTGGAGCACAAATCTGCAGTACTATTGCTGGAATGATGTCAATGCCCCTACACTTTGCAGTATCCAGTGCTACTTATTGATATTGGGTGGAGTGAATTGAATTGGCTGAAGATTGGCATCCGTGATGCTGGGGGCCTCGGGAGGAGACCGAAGTAGATTATCTGCATTTCTGATTGAAGATTTTTGCAAATGCTTCTGCCTTGTCTTATTCTGGGTTCTCCAGTTGTTGAGAACAAAGGTATTTGTGGAGTCTCTTCCTCTAAGTTATTGAATTGTCCACCACCATGCACAACTGGCTGTGGCAGAACTGGAGTGTTCGGATCTGATCAGCTAGTTATGAGGTCGCCTAGCCCTGTAAGATGAACGTTACTTCCTCTGTTTGGCCTCCAAGTAATTGTAAATTGTATCATCATCAGATTGACACTCATTTATAGATATGCCTGGTGCTGCTGCTGGGATGTCAGCAAGTGCTCTGGATTGTACCAAGTTTGGTCTCCTGGCTTGATGATAATGGGAGAGATCGGGGGATGCCGGGCCATGAAGTTTTGATTGTGGTTTAAAGAACTCTGCTGCTGCTAGTTCGTGGTGGCTTCATGTAGGATTATTGCTGTGCAGAAGGAGGTCCCAATACCCTTGGTCTGCACAGCATTATATATCAACTTCATTATGCACGTGAAAATGAGCAAACTGAGCAACGCTAACACAAATCCAGTGACTTTTCCTGTTCTCCTCCTCGGTCTGATTTGCGTACCGGTAAAAATGCTGCAGTAAGCCCTGAAAGTGAACAGGAAATGGCGCCATGACTCGTGAGACTTTGTATGTTGAAGACTCTCCTTTCTCAGTTGCTAGTTTCTTGGAGATCAGATACGGTACCAACATGTTGGGCTCATATTCTTCAGAGTTTAGAAGAATGACAGGCAACCACTTTGAAACAAATAAGTTTCTTAGGGGACTTGACAGGCTAGATGCAAAGAGGTAGTTTCCCTGCTGTGAGAGTCTAGGACCAGGCAATATAATGGCTCATCGGTTTAAGACAGATGAAGGGGAATCTCTTCTCTCGGAGGGTAGTGCATCTGAAGAAATCACAGCGGGTCAGGCAGCATCTGCAGAGAGAGAGAGAGAGAGAGAGAGCAAGCTAATGGTTCGAGTCTAGATGACTCTTCATCAGAGCTGACATGATGTGCGGAGGGGGCAGCATTTGTGCAATATTGGATGTGGGATCCGTGTGAATTCTTTGTTGTAGAGGCTGGGTGATTAAGTATATTTCGGGCTCAGATAGGTTTTTGAATCAGTAAGGGAATCGAAGTTTACGGGAGAAAGGGGAGTTGAGGGTTATCAGAGCAGCCATGATTTCATTGAATGACACCGAAGACTCCAGGAGCTGGATGAACCACTAATGCTGCTATGTCTTATAGTCTAACTGTTGTGTCATGGGTGGCTACATGGAGCTGTTTTGAATCTAGTCCATTCAACTGTGGCAGAATAGAGGGATACCTTATGTGCAGATAGGACTTTGGCTGCAGAAGGATTGTGCAGTAGTCACTCCTACTAATACGGTCTTGACCATAAGTGTCTGCAACAGGTGATGGCTGAAGCCCAGGTTAAGTAGGTTTATCCCCTCCACATACTCATCTAAAACTCTGCTACCCATATTCTAACCCACACCTAGTGCCATTCACCCCCACCCCTATATCTACTGATGCACCCAACACATGAAAATTAAACATTTCTACATCCCTCCATGACCTCTCCTCTTCTTTCTGTGTAACCTCCTCCAGCCCTGCTACCCTTCAAACTCTTTGATAAGGGACCAGGAGTAGAGGAAAACGCTACCCCAGCAAAGGGACAAAAAGGACCTGAAAATTCGCCCTTATTTCCAACTTGTTTTAATTACCAAAGAGCTGATTGACATGGCAACTGAGGAAAAAAAAGACAAATTTATTCTGAACAAATCGTCCGTGTTCAGCTTTCTAAGAATAAATGAATGTCAGCACAGATGCTATGGATTACAGCTGTTGACTGTGCTAAAAGTCCAGCTGTTTGCAATTGGAACAGAGTCCTTGTTAATATTTTAAATGTGAAATTTGCCTGAAGTAAAGCTATGGGAGTTTCATCTCCAAGTGTTGGAGCACTGCCCACAAGATACCGTCATGGAGGGAGGAAACAAGCCAGTTCGGTTAGGGTCCCAGCAAGCAAGAAGAGGGAGGGTGGAGGAGGATCAGAAATCAGCAGTGTTAGTTTGAGCTGAACTTGAGTTTTAAAAGCTGCTGACCTGAAGGAGGATTGGAAACCTGAAGGTGGTGAGGGGTTTCTGGAAAAAAGGAGTTTTAAGTGGGAGAAGTTTGACTCCAGTGGGATGGGCTTTGAACACAGGAGGCTGCCTGCCTTTGAAAATGCAGCAGGTAATTAGAGGAAAACATAAAAGCTACCAGATTAATTAAAAGCATGTTCCTGTTCTGAAAGCTCCACAGCTTGATCCTACTGTGTAGCACTTAATTGGGAAAGACTTGGCTTCAGAAAAAAGAACAAGTGTAATAAATGTTTACCACCTGACTGTGTGTCTTCTCTTACAGCTTCCAGTTAGTGTTTACGAGTCAGTCATCGATATCATCGCTGGAGAGGTATGGAATTAACCGACTTTAGTTCTGTCCTGTCCTATGTATGTCTGTATCGTGCATGATGCACAGTCCCCCTCTGTATCAATCTGTGTATATATCCTGCACCATGTACAGTCCCCCTCGGGCTGTATCAGTCTGTGTATATATCCTGTACCATGTGCAGTCTCTTTCTGTCATATGCAATGCTGCGTACAGTCCCTCTCTGTGGGTGTTGCTGGATTTCCCATCCCTATTGACCCCGAGAAGGTGACAGTGAGCCACAGCAGTCCTTGGGTGTAGATACATCTACAGTGCTGATAAGGCAGGAATTCCAGGCTATGGACCTAGTGACAGTGAAGGATTGGCAGCATAATTCCAAGTCAGGATGGCGTCTGACTTGATCTATCCTGCAGAATGTTGCAGTCAGTCTTTGCGCATCCTGCACTGGACACTGTCCTACTATTTCTGTCCATGTACGACTAAATATCCATCACCACATACAGTCTCACTCTTCTTATCCGAATGTGTGTGTTTTCTGCAATATCCTATTGGCATTTTCTTCCTGGCTAAAGTTATGCATGTCTTTAACCTAGATTAGTCATATTATATTCAGTCTCCATAATCATTTCAAGTTTATTTACGTTTCTACTCTTTCTTCCTTCCCTTTTTAACTGCCAGAAAAGATTTTTCTAACCAATTCATATGCCACTGAGACTTGTAGACCTGTTCCATGCCATTTGCATAAAAAGCAGAGCTACAACACTTCCTGTTTATCACTTATCCTTCAGATAGTCAACTCTCAAACAATCTGCATTATATTTCCACTCTTCATGGAGACCTGGGCATTCTTACCACAGGAGGAGACCCTTTGGCATACAATGCATGTGCTGGTTCTTTGCTGGAGAGATCAACTGAGATTTCCATTGTCGCACTCTCTCCCCGTAGCCCTGTATCAATCTTCAAACTAATCTCACTGTCCCATTCCCTCCCTATAGCTATGTATTAAACCAAGACTAATCCCACTACCCTGATCTCTCCCCACCGTCCTATATCAATCCCAAACTAGTTCCATTGCCCTGTTATCTATGTAAAGCTCCATATCAATCCTAAACTAATCTCATTGTCCCATTCCCTTCTGATAGCCATGTATCAATCTCCAAATAATCTTACTCCAATGCTGTCTCCCCCATAGTCCTTTGTCAATTCCAAATTAATCCCATTGCTCTGCACACTCTGCACAGTCTTGTATCAAGCCTCAAACTAATCCCACTGACCCATTGTTTTTCCCATAGCCCTGTATCAATCCTGAAACTGATCTCACTGCCTCATTCACTCCCTATAGCACTGTATTGAATCCCAACTAATCCCACTGCCCTGCTCACTCCACGTGGCCCTGCACTGTTTCTCACACTGTTTCAAATATATGCCTCATTTTGAGTTTCAAGATGCGATTGTCTATGCCTCCATTGTTCCATGTGGTAAACCTTTCCACCTTCAGCAATCTTCCATGCAAAGAAATTCCATCTGACTTTGGCACTTTCTTAGTGACAGTTTTTAACCGTTAATCTCACTAACCAAGAACCGTCGAGTTCCTAACGTCAATGTGGTGTATTCTTGCTGGTTTCACTCTGTGTACAGTCGTTAACTCTGCTTTAACATCACCAATATCTTCTCATAATAGTAGTTTCTCATTCCTGCTAAAGTTCTGATGTATCTACATAGTCTGTTCCCTCTCTGCGGTTTTTAATGTCTTGCTAGGATGGGTTACAAAACTCCACACGCCGCTCCAGCTGTGAAACAACCAATATTGCCTGCAAACTCATCATTATTTGTTTATTCTTGCGTACTGTACACCTATTAATACACCCCAACTTGTGTTAGCGTGTATTGTCTGCTCTCCGTTTTCTGGAAGATTTTGTTTCTGAGCCTGACCTTATCTATTCCTTCACCCTCTCCAGTAACTCTTCACTCAGTGTGAATGACAGATGCTGATTTTTCCCGCGTTGCCTCAGACCTTTTCGCATTTTCAAGGGTCTAGCTCCATTTTTCCCATGTGCCTGTTAACCTTTTGCGGCTTTCCAAATCCTTTGTAGGAAAGTGTGAAAATTATGGTCATTGCTGTCAAGTTTTAAATTGTCCCAGAATAAAAGTGGGCGCATCCTGGGATGTTAGCTCTTGCGGGCATCTGTGCCCACTTTCTCAGGCTGGATCATCTTTTATCCTCCTCTCCAGGAAGGGCCAATTTCTCTCTACCAGCCATCTCATCAGTCACTGACTCTCAGGCTCTGAAAACTGCAGGAGTCCGGTTTCAGGCAATCCAGTCTGCCCGTTTTGACGGGACAGATTTGGGGTCAGTCGTCGCCGCTGATTGTGGTTGCTCCACTGCAGAGTCGCAGTGAATTCTTGGGGCTCTTGGCCCCATGGATGTTGGACTCTGCCTTTCTGTCCTACATCCAACTGGAGGATTCACACAACAGCAGACAGTATTCCCATCCCAAACCCAGCCTGACCAAGGGTGGCAGGCCCCGTACCACCTCCTTTCTCCCATCACCTTTTATTTCAGTTCATGGCTGACCAGGCCAGCATTTATTTCCTTGTTGTGGAGCTTCTCCTAAGCTTGGCTGATCCTTTCCACGCCCTCTTACTATTTTTGCCAGGTCGGTGCCTCATTCACTGACTCCAACTGGGATACAGCTCCATGTAAAGACTGGCTGACGAGCAGACCGTTCTTAATGTGCGAGTCCAAGGGAGCGACAGCAAGCTATTCCACCTAAAGAGTCATCACGAAGTGTTCTCTTCTTGTTTGCTCGCATGCAGCAGAAAACCTTCCTGAGCTGATGAGTGGATTCCTACTGATTCTAATCAGAGAAGAAGCTATGCATTTTCCAAGTAACGCATTGGCTGCAGCTCTAGGGCCCCAGTTCTTCAGGTCTTTTTTTCCCCCTTTATTCATTCACGGGATGAGGGCATCACTAACTAGGCCAGTATTTATTGCCCATCCCTAATGGCCCAGAGGGCAGTTGAGAGTCAACCACATTGCCATGGGTCAGGAGTCACATGTAGGCCAGACCAGGTAATGATGGCAGTTTCCTTCCCTAAAGGACATTAGTGAACGAGGTGGGTTTTTCTGACAATCGACAATGGATTTGTGGTCATCATTAGGTTCTTAATTCCAGATGTTTTATTGAATTCAAATTCCACCATTTGCCGTGGCAGGATTCGAACGCAGGTCCCCAGAACATTAGCTGGGTCTCTGGATTAACAGCCCAGCAATAATGCCATTAGGCCATCACCTCCCACACTGCTTTTTTTCTGTCCTTTGCCCAGGCCACAGTGCTATTTGCTGAACTGACCTACACTCTGGCCACAGAGGAGGCTGAACGCATCGGAGTTGATCACGTGGCTCGCATGACAGCTACTGGCACAGGCGAGAATTCCACAGGCAAGGACTTTCACCTGTGTTCTTTAAATCTGGAGTGGAGGGTGGAGGGGGACAAGGATGGGTGGGGATAATGCTAGAAACTGGGGTAAACCCCAGTCCCATCGGACAGGAACAAACTGGTTATAGAACGTAACCAAACTCACCGTCCCAGGCCAAGTATTGCCCTTTTGCCAACTGACCATCTCCTTGTAACATACAAAGAACAGGTCAGTTGGCAAAAGGACATACATTGAGATTGAAGCTGATGTTTTATTTTGTTGGGCTGTCCCTCACTGTTTTTAATATGGAGCAATTGATTGATCTCTGTCTTGTACATACTCAGTGACTGACCCTCCATAGGCCTTTGGGGCAGAGAATTCCAATGATTTGCCACCCCTTGAATGAAGGAATTCCTCCTCATCTCCATCCTAAGTGGCCTGCCCTTTATATTGAGACTGGGTCCCCTGGTTCTAAACCACCGACCCAGCTAGGGGGAAGCATCCTTCCTGCGTTTGCCTTATTGATTACTGAAAGAATCTTGTCACCTCTCATTCTTGTAAACACTAGAGAATACAGGCCCAGTTTCCACAATGTCTCCTAGTACGACAGTCTAACTTGGGAGCTGGTTTGGTGAGCATACATTACACCCTCTCTTTATTAAGTATGCCTTTCACCTTGTGTAATAAGACCAATACATCAGTGCTCCAGGCTTGGTCTCCTTATACTTACCGATTGCAATAAGAACATCTTTACTCCTGCACAACGACATCCAAGTTCCTTTGAAGTTCAACACATCCCAGCCTCTCACTGTTAAATAAATAAAATGTTTCTATTTTTCCCTATCACTGATCTGCCCTGACTCCCAGCTGATATTTAGATATGAGATATTAAAGGCATCTAGGGATATGAAGAGAGGGGGAGTGGGGGCATAGAGTTGAGAAAAAGGGTCAGCTATATTGAATTACACAGAAGGCATGAAGGGCCTAGTTTCTATGTTTCTCTCTCTAAGGGCAAGAATACCTTAAGCTGCCTACTGGAATTCCCTACTTAACTTTCTCTGCCTTTTCCTTTAAAACCTGTTGCTCTGATTAAAAGATACAGTCACCATAGTCCTGCCAGACTGTAGGATTGCTCTGTCATTACAGAGAGAGGGGGGAACTGGTGGTGGTCCAACCTGAGGGTACACCTCGGGTGAGGGGGAGAGATTGAGAAGATAACCTGAGCTGGTGTGGGAATTGAACCCATGTTGTTGGCATCGCTCTGCATCACAAACTGTCTAGCCAACTGAGCTATCCAACTCCCTATCACTGTAGGTTTTTGGTAATTGACTCTGCTGTCTCTGAATGTGATTCAGTATTGTTTGTCTGATAACGTCCCTGTGAAATGGTGGCTCAGTGGGAACCTGCCCCACCACCAGAGTAAACCCAGTAACTTCCTGCCTCCTTCCATAAACAATTAGCTGACTTCTGTTTTGATCCTGTTACAGTGGCTGAACATCTCATTGCACAACACAGCGCCATTAAGATGCTGCACAGTCGGGTCCGTGTCATCCTGGAATACGTTAAAGCTGTAGAGTCAGGTAGGAGAGCCCAGTGCTCTGTCATCATCTCCCAGCCCTAAGTGGCTGGGGGTCAGTTTGGGGAGTGTGTGGGTCCTGGAGGAGAGAGTGAGAGAGTGTGTGTATGTTGGGGATGTGTCTCTCGGGTCTTCTGGGTATTTTTTGTTCATTCAATATGGGCATTACTGGCTAAGCCAAGATTTATTGCCCTTCCGTAAATGCCCAGAGGGCAGTTAACAGTCATCCATGTTGCTACAACTCTGGAATCACATGTTGGTCGGATGAGGTCTCCTTTTCTAAAGGACCCCACACAGGTTCTTATAATGATCGGTGATGGTTACGTGGCTGCCCTTATGCTGTTTTTTTTTTTAATGCCACATTTTTGTTGAATTTAGTTTCACCATCTCCCGTGGTGGCATTCGGATCCAGGTCCCCAGAATATTAGCTTGCGATTATGGGTTACTAGTCCAGGATGTTACCGCTGCACTACCTTCTCCCCTGTGGCTAGTGCCCAGGCAGTTTTGAGATGAGTGTAGGAGGCACGGAAGGGATATTATTTGTGAGGAGGTGGATATATGGGGGGTCAGTCAGAGTGAGCTGCACCATTTGGGGATGTACATCAGTTGGAGTTGGACAGCTGGGATAGAATACATCGAGCTACTTGTTTGCCGATGCTCCATTTGTGTTCTTCCACAGGTGAAGTGCCATTTAACCATGAGATCCTTCGTGAAGCCTATGCCCTGTGTCACCGGCTGCCAGTCCTCAGCACCGACAAGTTTAAGACTGACTTCTATGATGTAAGTCGAGCTAGTTGCTGATCTGGAAAATGAAGCTGCTTCCTGTTTGGGCTGAACTTACGCAAAACAAAACCCATCACTCCACCCTTGATGGGAACAGAAAGAGACCATTCATAGAGTGGTACAACACGAAAACAGACCCTTCGGTCCAAATAGTCCATGCCGGCCATAATCCCAAACAAAACTAGTCCCACCTGCCTGCCTTTGGCTCGAGTACCTCTAAACATTTCTTATTCATGTACTTATCTAAATATCTTTTAGAAGTTGTAACTGTACCCGCATCCACCACTTCTTTTGGAATTTCATTCCACACGTGAACCACTCTGTGTAAAAACAAAAATTGTCCCCATGCCATTTTTAAACCTTTCTCCTCTCACTTTAAAAACGTGCCTCCTCGTCTTCAAATCCCCTACCTTGTGGAAAAGACTCTTGCCATTCACCTTATTGATGCCTCTCATGATTTTATAAACCTTGTGAAGTCATTTCTCTACCTCCTATGCTGCAGTGAAAAAAAGGTCCTGGCCTATCCAGCCTCTCCTTATAACTCCAACTTTCCATTCCTGGCAACATCTTGGTAAGCCTGTTCTGAACCCTCTCCAGCTCAGTAATATCCTTAATAATTCCTCATCTACATTTTTACTTCATCTGTTTTTGTCTGCTACTTTAACTCCTAACACCCTCAACCAGTTACAAAAACAAGTCTTACCTGTGCCATCCTTTTTATGAAGAAGAGCATTCTACCTTCCAACCTAATTAGTCCAGCTCTGGTTTTATACTCATGCCCCATTGTCCTATTCTGCCCCCCACCAGCAGTAGGAGTTTTTGTCTATATTCTCTCACTTCTTTTCAAAGTCTTGAATCCTCAAGCAAATCTCCCTGATTTCTACATTGCTACAAAGACAATGTTTACGTCATGTCTTCTTATAATCTAAGTGTGGAAACCCCAGTTACATTCTCATGAATCTGTGTCATACATTGAGGCCAATATATTCTTTCTAAGTTGTGTTCATAGTGTGATGAACATTTATAGATTTGTTTTATCATTTGTAAACTTGAGTTCTAACGTAGAGGTAAGTGGAGTCTTGTTTTTCAGTTTGTAAAAGTGACTGACTTTTTTTTTGAGGGTCAAAATTTTTTTAAGCATTGGGTTGAAATAGCATTTCCAAGAAATGTTGTGACTTAACCTAAGAGAAACCGTCTAATGAGACAATTCCTGAAGTGTTCAAGAGGTTGGAAAAAAAACCACAGGTTGCTGGAAAAGCTCAGCAGGTCTGGCAGCACCTGTGAAGAAAAATCAGAGTTAACATTTCGGGTCTGATGACCCTTCCTCAGAACTGATATAGCTCGGAAAATGTCAGTTTATATGCACAAGATGGCGGGGGTAAGGAATAAACGATAGGTGGGGATAGAGCCCAAAGAGAGAGAATAACAGTCGGACAGACCAAGTTGATAACAATCTGGCTAGGAGGGTGAATAGCTGTTAATGGAGACTTGTTAGTGGCTAACAATAGGTAACGTGTAATGGCAGACTATGTGATAACAAGGCCTGGTGTGTGGCGTAGGAGGCTAGGACATGGGAGAATTCTTGGCCCTAAAATTATTTAACTCTATATTAAGTCTGGAGGGCTGCAGGGTCTCGAAGCAGAAAATGAGGTGTCACTCTTCCAGCTTGTGCTGAGCTTCGCTGGAACACTGCAGCAAGCCTGAGACAGAGATGTTGGCCAGGGAATAGGTTGGTGTGTTAAAGTGGCAGGCAACTGGAAGGTCAGGGTCTTTTTGCGAGCAGAGCGTAGATGTTCTGTGAAGCGGTCACCCAGTCTACACTTCATTTCCCCAACGTGAGACCATATTGTGAGCAGCGAATGCAGTAGACTGGATTGTGGGCAGTGCAGGTAAAGTACTGCTTCACCTGGAGGGTATGTTTGGGCCCTTGGATACTGGGGAAGGAGGAGGTAAATGGGTAGGTATTACACCTTTGGCAGTTTCAGGGGAAGGTGCTGTGGGGGTGTTGGGAGTGAAGGAAGAGTGGACCAGGGTGTCCCAGAGGGAACGGTCCTGCAGAAGGTGGACAAGGGAACGCAGGGGAATATGTGTTTGGTGGTGGCATCTCACTGGAGGTGGTGGAAATGGCAGCTGATGATCTTCTGGATGTGGATGCTGGTGGGATGGCAGGTAAGGACCCCATACCAGGCTTTGTAATTACATAGCCTTCCATTACACGCTACCTATTGTTTGCCACTAGCAGTCTCCATTAACACTATTCACCCTCCTAGCCAGATCGTTATCAACTCCTTTGTCTGTGCAACTGGTCTTCTCTCTCTTTGGGCTATATCCCCACCCACCCCCACCTACTTCTTATCCCCTCCCCCCACCCTATCTTCTGCATATAAACCAACATTTTCCTAGCTACCACTAGTTCTGAGGAAGGGTGACCAGACCTGAAATGTTAACTTGGATTTTTCTTCACAGATGCTGCCAAACGTGCTGAGCTTTTCCGGCAATTTCTGTTTTTGTTCCTGATTTACAACATCCGCAGTTCTTTTGTTTGCTAGGTTGAGCTTTTATGATCTAGAGAAAGAGGGGCCAGAGGCAGGCATGCTTCAGAAAAACAGATCTGTGCGAACAGATGTACTCTTCAGAAGCTTCAGAGTAACCAATGGCTTGAGTTTTCTTAGGGCTAATCAGAAAAGTCAGTGAATTAGCCTGTCTATATTTGTCTTTGGACTGGACAGTAATGGAGGGAATCACAACTTGATAATGTGTAGAAATTTGCCAAAAGGAAAGGCTTCTATCCTTGAGACAACAAGGTGTAGAGCTGGATGAACACAGCAGGCCAAGCAGCATCAGAGGAGCAAGAAAGCTGACGTTTCGGGCCTAGACCCCTCCTTGTAAGTTTTGACTAGCGACCTAGTCTGAATAAAGGATTTTTATTGTGGATTCCTACTTCTCCAGAGTTAGTCTAAACTATGTTCGCTGTTCCCTAAATGCACCCCCCCCCCCCCACCAATATTTGGCTTGCCTGATTCTCTAGAACCGAATCAGCAGTGCCTTTTACCCTTTGGGACCAGGAACATACCATGAAGAAAACACATTGAAATAAAAAAATTCTCCTGAACACCATTTAGAAATTCTTCTCTCTTACTGTCCTTTATGCTATCACTATTCCAGTTTTTATTGAGTTATTTAATTTTTATTGAAGTCTCCCATTATTACTACTCTAGGACTACAAAAACTATAGTTCTTGCGTCTCTAATTTCTCTGCAAGTTTGCTCTTGTGCATCTTTTCCGCTAGTTCTGTTTTCATGTTTTCCCACGGAGTGTGCGCTGCTGGATAGGCCAGCATTGTTGTCTGTCCCTTGAACTGAGTGGTATGCTTGACCATTTTCAGAGGGCACTTAAGAATCACCTACATTGCTGTAGACCAGACCAGACCAGGTAAGGACAACAGATTTCCTTCCCTAAAGGCCTTCAGTAAAGCAGGTGGGTTTGGAGTATTGTGAGCAACATTGGGCCCTGTATCTAAGAAAGAATGTGCTGGCCTTGGAAGGGGTTTAGAGGAGGTTTACATGAATGAAGGATCTGTTACACAAGGAGCAGTTGAAGACTCTGGGTCTCGATGGCATTTAGAAGGATGGATTGGGTAGAATCTCATTGAAACTTACAGAATCCAGCGAGGCCTAGATAGCATGAAGGTGGAGAAAATGTTTCCATTGGCAGGAGAGATTAGCACCTGACAGCACAGCTTCAGAGTGGACAGACCCCCCTTGAGCACTCAGATGAGGAGGAATTTCTTCAGCCAGAGGCTGGTGAGTCTATGGAACTCATTGACAGAGAAGGCTGTTGAGGCCAAGTCATTAAAACAGAGATAAGTTCTTAATGAGGAAGGGGATCAAGCGTTACAGGGAGAAGGCAGGAGAATGGGGTAGAGAAACATATCAACCTTGATCAAATGGTAGACCCGATGGGTCATATGGCTTAAAATTCTGCTCCTATATTTTATGGTCTTACGTGCGATAATTGACATTGCTTTCATGGTCACAATTACTGGAGCCAAATTCCAGTTCCAAATCTATGAACTGATTCTAAATTCCACCAGCTGCCCTGATAGATTTTGAACCTGGGCCAGTGGATTTACTTGTGCAGTGATATCGCCTCCTCAACCTGGCCAACAGTATAATGGCACCACTAGTGCTTCCTGCCTTTAACCAAATAGAATCTGTCCTTGTTCCTTTGAGTACATCCTCTTTCTCTCTCTCTGTCCCGCACTGTGGTATGATACTTAATCATTCCTCCTCTCTTGACTTTACTCTCTTTCTATTTTATCCAGGAACCTTTAGCTGGTCCAGTTCATGTTCTCAGCCAGGTCTCTGTTATTGCTACATTGTCTTGCTCCCATGTGGCTATTTATTGCCTACAGCTCACCAAACTTGCGTACCAAGACTTGTGTGTTGGCATACGTACACAGTAAACTGAAGTTGGTCCATTGTGCACAAAATGAGCAAAGTTGTGATCCTTCGAGAGTTTTGTATAAACTTCCATTACATTTCAGTTCCTCCGGTTCGAAAGGCAAGAATTACAGTTGACTTTTTGATTGCTACATTGATTTTTGATTGTGCCTGCTTAGTACATGCATGGAGCCAGGTGAGAATGCATTGCCTGAGAGTGTGGTGGAGGCAGGTTCAATTGAGGTATTCAGAAGGGAATTAACTCTTTATCTTAGAAGAAGGAATGTGCATGATTGCAGGGAACAAGAGGGAGAATAACACTTAGTGAAATGCTCTTTCAGAGAGCCAGTGCGGATGGGATGGGCCAAATGGGCTCCTCCTGCATCCCAATGATTTTCCGATTCTGACTTGGTAGCCCAGCCAGATGGGTGGGATCTGGCTCTGTGGCAGTGCGATATTATCATTGCTGTCTCTATCTCTCTGTCCCTCTTAGCAATGCAACGATGTGGGTTTGATGGCTTACCTTGGCACCATCACCAAGACCTGCAACACCATGAACCAGTTTGTGAACAAGTTCAACATCCTGTATGATCGGCAGGGCATCGGCCGACGTATGCGAGGCCTCTTCTTCTGATTGAGAGTCCAAACGGACTTTGCCCTCTAGATACAGCGGGAGGTGAGAGTTTACATCATGAGAGGGGCAGCCTCTGACAGACACCGACTGAAGTGTATCAGCGATTCTCTGGCGACTCTTTCCCCCACTCCTTCCCAACACCCCTCCGCCCCCACTTAACCCTGTCTCTCAGCACTCCACCCTGTACCGCCCTTCCCTTCCCTGTGAGATGTTTGGGCCAGCCTTGTGAAATGGGACAACGTGTCACCCTGTTCCATTGACGACCGGGTCTCTCTCTCTGGTTTTGTTACTTCAGCGACAAAGTGACTAGCTGGATTGGAATTCAAATTCACACTGTGCTGCATGCGTTGTGTGTTTACTGCTGGCGAGCAGATGTGAAGTTGTCGGTTGTACAGCTGAAATATGTGCATTAGAAATAAAGTTGAAAGGAATTTGTTTGTTGTCGCTCTTCTAAAACTACCCCGAAGTCCTCTAGACTTGCAGATGGGAATCATTTCTCTGTGTAATGCCTCTTTATGCCAATGTCTGTACTTCCTATCTACCTTCCACCCCATTCCCTTTCTCCTTCATTCTTCCAGTCTGCACCCGTGCCTCAACTCTCCTCATCTACTGCTGAACCCTCACCCATTCTTCTGCTTCCTCCAGGCTTAACTATTTGGTTGCTCTCCTAGCTGCACTCCCACCTTCCAACCTCTATAAACTTGGGCTTCTTCAAAACCCTTGATGCCAAATCCTAACCCACAGTATGTTCCATTCACTCATCACGCCTGTGCTCACTGTCTCACTTGGCTTCCAAGTAAGCACTATATATCAATTGTAAAGTTCCTACATTTGTAACTACATCCAGCTGTACAACCCATTGATATCTCTGCACTCCTCCAATTGTGGTCTGATCCCTTATTTTAACCATTTGACCATGCCTTCAGTGCCTAGGTTTTGGAATTCCCTCCCTAAATCTCCCCCCTTCCTCCTTCCTCTACCCTCCCCGCCCCCCCACTCCCCTCCCCCCCCCCCCCCCCACCCCCCCCCCCCAGCCCGCCGCACCCCCCCATAGATTTCTCTCTGCAAAAGGACATTAGTGAAGCTGATGGATTTTCACAACAATTAACATGATCACTTGTATTGATTGCAATGTCAATTCCAGATGAATTAATTAGCTGAATTTAAATTCCGCTGTCAGTGGTATTTGAACCCATGACTCCAGTGCATTTACCAATACACCAACATCTTTGAGGACTGCCTGACGATCCTTCTATGAAACACCTTGAGGCATTTTCACTGTGATAAATGCAGTTGTCTACCTCAGTTCTTGGAATACCCAAGGATGGAAGTTATGTTAGAGCTTTTCAGAACTTTAGTGACATCCCATTATGGTGGCTCAGTGGTTAGCGCTGCTGCCTCACATCGCCAGGCACCCAGGTTCAATTCCAGCCGTGGGCGACTCTGTGTGGAGTTTGCACATTCTCGCCATCTGTCTGTGGGTTTCCTGTGGGTGCTCCAGTTTCCTTCCACAGTCCAAAGATGTTCAAGTTAGGTGGATTGGCCATGCTAAATTGCCCCATGGTGTCCAGGGATGTGTAGGCCTGTTGGATTAGCCATGGGAAATGCAGGGTTACAGAGGCAGGGTTGGGGGTAGGTCTGGGTGGGATGCTGTCTGGGGGGTCTTGATGGGCAGAAAGGCCTGCTTCAATGAACTGTGTTCAGTTATATGCACATTGCCTCAAGAAGGGTGTGTTGGCTTTGAAACAGTTTGACCAGAATGGCACTGGAGCTAAAAGGATTAAATTATTTGGAGAGGTTGCATAGTCCCAGCTTCTGTTTTTGTGAATATACAAGGTGAAGGGGAAATTTGATAATGGTCGAAGTTACTAAGTAAAGGAGAGAAAAACTATCCCTCCTGATAGGGGATTCCAGAACAAACTTCAAAATTCAAGTTGCGTGGTAGTTCAGGTGGGGGGAATGTCAAGAAATGCTTCACACAAAGGGGAGTGGAAATCTGGAACTCTACCCCACCCAATAAAAGCCTCGCATACCAGGAAGCAATCACAAGGAGCAACCCATCACCTGCAGAGCCTGTGCCCATTCTGTCGAGCAGTTCAACAAAGCTCAGGGCAAGCACAAAGATGTTAAAACAGAGTAGGAGCCAGGAGGCAGTACAAAGGAACCACGTGGAGAGAGGGAAGGATAAAAGGAATGTCAGCTATTGAAAGAAATTGAGGAGTAGCAACACAAGACAGCAGATAGGTGATTGGCATAAATTAGTTTCTCTTGTAAACTAGGGCAGTTGTTTAAAGCATGAGCTGGAGAAATATATTACTTTATTAAATGAATAACAGAATATAACTTGAGGAATTATGTTAGAACCACAATGGGAAGCGCTTACAATGATGGTCAACAAAGTGCAGGAGAATATGTTCCTCTACAAAACAAGACCAAGCTAAACACTAACATATCACCATGAGTGATTGAAGAGGAGCTAACTCTTCCGGTCTCTGTTGACTGAAGATGGTCATTGGGACCCTGTGGAAGTTCTGATGTATGGAACGGTATGGGAGTTGTGTTAATATCCAGGAAGCAATTCCCCTGTTCCACTGGGATCCTTGGTGAATATCCCTGACTCCATAACAGAATCAGAGATTTTGGACCCTTCCACACTCCTCAACCAGGGAGTTGAACCCTAGCACTGTATTGCCTAACTCCACAAATGACCCTCACTCTTGACTGTCCCCTTCACCTTGGTTGCCAAGCAACCACCTGACTACTCCCCTGATACCCGCTGGAGCAGACCTGACTACCTGTCCCCACCCCGCTTTCTCCACAACTAAGTAAAGTAAGAGATGGGAAAGGTTTGGAGGGATTATAGGCCAGGAGAAGGCAGATGGGACTATTTTACTTTGGGATTATGGTCAGCATAGGCTGGTTGGACTGAAGGATCTGTTTCTGTGCTGTATGATTCTATGTGCAGCAGGCTCATGGCTTCTGCTGTACTGACTATAGGAATAGAAGTAGGCCATTCAGCCCCTCAAGCCTGTTCCACCATCCAATAAGATCATAGCTAATCTTTGGCCTAACTCCAGATACCTACCCTTGGCTCATATCTCTTAATACCTTTGCTTCACAAAAAATATGTATCTCAGATTTAAAACTAACAACTAATCCAGCATCCACTGCCATTTTGGAAGAGAGTTCCAAACCTCTATCACCCTTTGTGTGTCGAAGTGCTTCTAATACCTCTTCTTGTCCCCAATTTATAGACAATGCCCCCAAGTTCTTAAATCCCTAACCGGTGGACATTGTTTATCTACCCTGTCTTTTGTTAATATCTTGAAACCTCATAACCTTCTAAATTCCAGACAAAACCAGCCTAATTAGTATAACGTTTCCCCATAATTTAACCCCTGAAGTACAGGTATCATTCTTGTAGACTTACATTGTACTCCCTCTAATGCCACTATATCTTCCTAATGTATATTGGGTTTCAGAATAAATAAGTTGTAGAAATTTTAAAAGAAACAGCAGTGGAGAGCAGTCTTGAGAGAGTATGAAGAAAGGAACTGGTATAAAACATAATTAGAGCAAAAGAAGACCTATAAAATCAAATTATCAAGGAATGTAAAACAAAGCTCTTTTGTATCTCATTTTTAACTTGCAGTCTTATCCAGCTGGATTGCATTAACATGAAAAAGCCAAAATGAATTAAGTCAGGAAATGTAAGTTTTTATAGTTTCTAAAATAGCCGAGATGATAAATTATTCTGAGTGTGCTATGAGAGCTTCATTATGAAAATGGCCTAAAGAGGTCTTAATTCCAGATAGATTGTTGATGCAGCCGACTTTGCTAATAGCATTATAGTCTCAAAAAAGTCAAGTCGCGTGGTAATTCAGTTCGGTATATTTTAATTTTGTTTCTTTGTCGTCTTTTGGTACACAAAATCAGTGCATGCATTTTATTGAGCATTTATGCAACTTTTGCATTCTGCAAGATGCAATTGTTAACTTGCCAAATATTTGACCTGGATGTTTTTTTTCTTTATCTCGGGCAAATCTCTCTAAACAAAGCTCTTCAGGTAGTCGAGTCAGGCAGTAAGACAAGGGCAGCAGATGCAAGGGAATACCGCTGGCTGTAACACACGATCGTGACCTGGGAACACATTGACCATTCCTTCAGTGTTGCCAAGCTAATGTGCTGGAGCTCCTTCCATAATGGCACTGTGGGTGCCTCTACACATACATGGACTGTTGCTGTTCAAGGAGGCAGCTTGTTGCCACCTTCTCAAGGGGCAGTTGGGGATGGGCAATAAAATGCTGGACTAGTCAGCGAGACCCATATGATGAAGTAGTTTTTTTTAAAAAAAACCCTGTAATTGGTGTCTGCCACTGATAGAGCATTCGAGTGTAGTACCTCGCATCCATTGTGTTAAGGCACCATTCAGATAGGAATTGTTGTCGCGCATGACTCTACAGAAATGCAACTTGGAGTCTGAAGGTGAAGTTGTATCTTTGCTTTTAATTGAAAGATCGATCATGCCTTGGGTTAGACTTTTGTTTACTCAGAGTTGTTTCAGTTCTGTCTGCCTTCCCCAATTAGTTATGGCAAACTCTCTCCTTCACTCGATTTGGGCTCTCGGTTTTTCCTCCCCATCCCATTGATCGGGTTGCAATGTAGAATGCTGTCGGAGAGCCGGTGACCAGGTGAAGGCCAATTTAAAGCAGACTGATAGTGACTGGTGTACAGAGGCGTTTATTGATCACGACAATAGCCAAGTATAGTTACAGCAACAGCCGGCAGCGGGAGGACAGACTGTTCCCAGCATCGAGTAAATCCGCGACACAGGCAAAACCGGGATGAAGTCAATTTGTGTCCGAGCAGACGAGACGAGGCGATTGGTGTCTGACTGAAAGAGAATGCTTTGTACTTCTCATTGCTGAGAGTAGATTAACTTTCATACAACCACCAAATGCTGTTTCAATATTTACTTTAGAACAATCGCATCAGTAACAGTGAACCTCCAAGACAACAGGACACAATGATCACACAGGGCACTGTGGAAGGTACCACGATGCCAAGCTGTTTCCAGCCTGTTCCCCTTTCATCATTTCCCCAGTGCAGCTCTGTATAGAGAGGAAAGGCAGCTGCTTTATCACCCTGTGTGGTCGGGGATGTGGGGAGCGCATAGCTAGCGATAATTTGGGGGAGAGGGGACTGGTGAGGGAGGGGTTTGAGCCTGGGCTACTCACTACCTCCCGGGTTCCTTTATGCAAACCACCGTGAGCCTGTCTCTGATCTGATCCAAAATAGTGAAAATCCCACGTCCTAGAGAAGCTTGGCTGGGGAGGGGGTACAATACATTCGTGGTCCCTTGTCCTGCTGACTTGGAGGGTTGACATTTTCCAGTTAGTACTCTTCCTCATCCTCATCTTCGTCCTCGTCC